AATCGTTTCGATACCATCCCGGTCATCCAAAAGATTTCGACCGCCATACTGAAGGCCATTCCAGCCGATGAGTATAAAAAATGTTTCGAAAAATTTGTTGAACGTTTCCAGCGCTGTATTGACTCGGAAGGAGACTATGTTGAATAAACAAGAATAAAAAATCAAAATAATAAACGCTTTGTATTTTTTTTTAGACCAGTCTCATTGGATTTGGGACAGACTGTGTGTGCTGTTGTATGAAACTTGTATTGTTGTGAGTTGAAAATCATTGTCAGATGTCAACAAATGGAAATGGCGCCAATGATGCGGTTTGACGGTAACTACATTGACAGCTAGGGTCATCTATGGGCAAATTCCGGCTTCATATTTACAGACCTGGTATGGCGGTACCGAGACGCGCGTAAGGAACGGCTCATCTAATGCACCGCGCTAAAGTTCCGACGAATACGATTGCCGGATCTTCGCGTTGAATCCGCGCGATAAGGTAATTAGTCACGACACGATCTGTAATTAGTCGGAAGCACTTGGACCATGAACCGGCGACGTTGTTCGCGCGGTTGCTGAAACATTGCGAGTACCGGAAATTGCGAGAAGAATATCGCGGATTGTACTCCATCGTCGCGAAGAATGTACAGGTCGTTACCGACGGCAAGTGCGACGATTTTAATCCCCTAACGTTTCACGGCAACGAAGAAGCATGAAAATTAGGAGGGGAGAAAACATCCGACGCTAATTACGCGACAGAGGGACCTAACTGGCGAAAAAACCACAAGCTTTCGCTAAGCTCCACGCGAGGATCTTGAATATTCAATTGGAGCCTCTTGCGGAAGATGTTGCTCGTAATTATTTGTCGCTTAATAAAAAATATGATAATTACCCGCCTGTTTCCGCGCGTCACGCTGCATCGAAATTCTCTCTCTCTCTCTCTCTCTCTCTCTCTCTCTCTCTCTCTCTCTCTCTCTCTCTCTTCTATCTCTATATCGGCAGGGCGATTCCAATGTCTATATTTTTTATCTCGAAGTTTCCTCATTTCCTTCGCGGAATGCCTACTTAGGCCACGGAAAAGATGAAATTGCAGGAGTATCTGAAATACTTGATAAAAAATCTCCTGAACAAAAAATCCAGAAGGCAGAAGGAAGCTCGGAACGTACGAATACACACACACACACACGCGCACACACGCGCACACACACACACACACACACACACACAGCCAGGTCTGTGAATACTTTAAAAGGTTCTCGAAGCATTCGGCGCGATACGCAATCGACCGAAAATATATCTCTTCCTCCCGCTCTTCCCTTGCGACTCAAGAGTTCCGTGGTTTCCGGTGGAACCAAGTGCCAATGATGAAATGTTCGTCTCGAAGGACGCGGCGAATTTCAAGTTGCGAGATGGCGGTGCGAACTGCGCAAAACTCGATTGAGACTGACGTCCTATCGATAGCCATCACCTTTGTCCTTGCGCGAGTTACTCGCATGATCGTCGAGCGTAGCCCACTTTCCGAACGGAGAAAAGCGCGCGCTCGTCTGTGGCATCGACCGCGAAAATATTTCTCGACAAGCGCGGAAATACCGGGGTCGCCCCATCCGATCCTCGATTAAAGCCCTAAAAGTCACGTCCACTTCTCGCGTGACATCACGACGGCAAATGGCGAAACAATAAAATCTATAATGAAAGAATAAGCGCGCGCGACTTCGGCAGCCATAACTCATCGCTTGAAGAGCCGTCCAAGTTTCGAAAGACTGTCGATCGAGTCGCTGGAAACTTTCACTAAATTCGCTTATTTACGCCCCGGAGCCGTGTCTCGATCCAAAATAAAGAGGAAAACAACACGATCGAGGAGTTTCACGGAACGGATGGACTTTGCGACTTTCGATCGGTAAACGAAAGAGAACAACCGTTGAGCGATTGGTAATCGTCGATTAATGATAATCACAGATAATCGGCACCTCGACGTTACTTCATCGTTGTAAAAGCGAAGTTCTTCAGCGTGATAAAAAAGGAGGTTTCCCTAAGAGCGATTTTAATGTTTAAGAGAGAAAAGAATTCGACCAAGTTCTTATTTCAATGTTCGCTCGCGAATCGTGCGAACCTATCGGGCGAGATTCTCGGGCGAATCTCCGAACGATAAATGAATCTAAAATGAGCTCCCGACGTGACACAAGCTTCATTCCGCAGGAGTAAGATAAATCTCGCGCGACTACATGATTTACATCAGTTGACTGATTGTCGAAGCTAGGCCTCGCTTGGGAGCTGATATTACGTTTCATATCTGAATAATCGATTAACGGTTCGACACATGCTCGAGACATTAATATGACGTCTATCGCCATCTCTGTCAAAGTCATCACGCGGTTCTGCAAGAATGTGATGTGATGTATTATTAGTATAATTACACGATACAGTTAAATTGGTCGGCCAAAAGGGATGAAATCTCTCTCTCTCTCTCTCTCTCTCTCTCTCTCTCTCTCTCTCTCTCTCTCTCTCTCTCTCTCTCTCTCTCTCTCTCTCTCTCTCTCTTCGATCTATTCCTCGAATCTTTTAACGAATTTCAGAATCAGCTACTTTTGCATCTTTAGACCTTTGACTCTTGCATCGAGTTCTTAATATGAAAAATGCATGAGTGTACTCCTAAATATTTATCTTATAATAGTCTGTTTTATTCAGATACACGAAACAAATACGTAGTCGAATCAAATACTCGTTCTTTATTGATACGTCGGCGGGAGAAGCGTCCTCCTATATTGTCAGTTTTATGCCTTTGCTTTTGCCCTATTTACGCTGAATGCACAAACGCGCGAGCGACTTTACATCTTTGTGCTATCGCTGTATTCGATTACATGATGACCTTTGACCAGGCTCATTGCCCGTCGCGTAGCGGCGTTTCTTTCTTATTTTCGTATTCAATGTAGCTAACATAACGTTGTGAAGTGCCGCGTTGGAACCGTTATATGATAACTCCGAGTAATAAGGAGTAAAAGTAGTTGCAAGCCCGGCGTCGAAATTGCTGCATTTTCGTTGATTAAAAATTATCATTTTCGATTTCACCGAATCTCCTGGATATGATGTGGATTTTGGAAAATGGTCGGAATAAAGAATATAAACGTATATTTGACATATTTGAATATACGATCGAAATATTGGAATATACAATATCCAACATAAAGAAACACTAGCGCATACTAGTATACTTAATAAATATTGCACATATTCATTGTATATGTATCTCAGAAATTTCTTAATATCAAAGCATATTTTCAATATATTTTCAAATAATATTAGTAAACACAGTAGCGACTGTTATTTGTTACATAGAATAATACAGCAACGAATATCCCCGGATTTTCCCGGGAAGAGAATTCGACGTTAATTTCTTCTCAGAAAAAATATTGCTAAGAAAATATTTTACCGGAATGTCGAGTATCAGAGCTATTTCAATACTCGACATAAAGGTTCCTGGCAAATTACATTCCACAAGTGTAAATATAAATAAATGACGGGAGCTTATTTTTTAATCTATATGCAACGAATGATACAATTTGAGAGCTTTAATTAACATGTTAAATATACGCCCACAACCGTTGGTCGACCACCAAGTTGACTTTAAAATACAAATATCACACACATGTATGTGTGTATGTGTGTGCGTGCATCTCATCCGGTGAGGAAAAGTCCCGGCTTTTCTCGTCGGAATACTCCAAACTCTTAGAGATATGCGATTTCTCGCACACAAAACAGCAGTGCCTTTTTCTTCCCGACTCACTGGATCCCTCTGGAAACGGGACACTTTATGCTCTCGCGGATCAATAAATATCCAGGAGCAGAGGAGAGTTGAGAGAACCCAATTTACTACCAACACGTGATATTCCCGGGCCGTAATAGTAATATTATTGCTTAGCACGCGATCTCCTCCACTACGCGTGACCTCGAACATCCGCACGGCTCTATAACTTCGGGAATAAAAAATCTCGAGAGTCCCTCCTCTACCAATCGCGCCTCTACCTACTCTCTCGTAACTTTCACGGCATCTCCGCCGCCTTACAACGCGAGGACGAAAGAGTTCCGAACAGCGTTGTAATTTGACAGAAAAGGAGCGTCGTTATCAACATGCGAAATTAGGCAGCTAAAATGACGCAAGACATCGCGAATTTCATGCGTGCAACATCGCAGCCCGCAATACCCGCCTGATGAAGATCGACGGCCATAATTTCCTCCGAGGTATTGACCGCAAGAGTCGCCTCGCCGACCCGCGGTTATTCGGTTTCCTCGACATCTTTATCGATTCGAAAACAGGGAAGAGGAGAAATGTTGTAAATCGATTCCGACAAACACGGCGCGTTACTAGCGATGCATAATTTATGATTGTGTTATTTATGCGCGACTAAAATATTAACCGTCCAGCCCGAGGCACACAAATAGCCGGCGATTTGCATTTTAACGGAAGTAATTTATATCACTGCATCGCATGTTAAATACGGCGAGCCGACGGCGCGGGCGGCGCGAGGATGTCTCGCGCGGAAACGGGCGGAAAGTGGGGTATCGCGTGTCGAATTTGAGGAGGCCGAAAATGCGACGCGCGAAATTGCGAAAATTCGTGAAAATCGCGTCAATGGCGCCGCGCCGGGGCGGATTGATATGCTCGCGCGGCATCACGACGATAAAGCCGCTCGGATAAAGCGATGAAAATTCAACAAATTCACGGGGGGAGGGGGAGGGGGCAAACAACGCATCGCGGACACGCTGACAATGTGGCCTACAACGGCTCGGTCGTCATGACGCGCTGCTCTCGTTGTTGTGGTCGTGTCGGTGCACAGTTTGCAGGTCGACGGCGATCATTTGTCTGGCTAAGCTCGTAAGCTCCGTAAGCACGTACCGCGGGCGCAGAGCCGCGACTCCACCGCGGTCATTTGTGCGACAGATGCGTCGATACGCCGGGATGCAAAAATACGCGCGTTTTTACGAGTATTCACGCTTGTCAATTGCCACATCGGCGAGAGGAGAGGCGCGCCGTCGACGAGGTACGCCCTACGCGTCGCGACGCCTGGCGTCGTGCGCGTCAGTAGACGGCGAGCCGTGCTGCACGACGGACGTCGGGCGCAACGTCGAGTCCTATCACTTTCACGGCCTAAAACGAACTCGTCGACGATTCCGCTCGCTCTGCTTATGGTTTCCTCCTGGATGAGGCGGGACGCGCGCGCGTCAGTACCGTCGTGTGTTAGAGCGTCCATCTCGACGATGTCGTCTTGAAGGAAGAAGATAGCGAGAGAGAAACAGAGAGAGAGAGAGAGAGAGAGAGAAAAAGAAAGAAAAAGCGGGTTAACTTGTCGCGAGGACACAGGTCCTCGAGAGAGAGAGAGAGAGAGAGAGAGACCAGTATTGGTGCGAGATCTCGGTGAGAGCTGAGTTTCCGATGATTTTTTGAAACACGCGAGGAAGGAAATCTCACGGCGCGATCGCGCCGCGTTCTTGCTGGCTCATCGACTAAATACGCGAGCGGACGAGCGGCGTCCATCCGGCGAGAGAATCCACCCCGACAATACACCGGTATCTTCGCAGTAACGTAAACGGAGCAGAAGCGTCCCTGATCGATGGCGTATCGATGATGATTATCGGAGCTTGACGGATTGGCGGTGCGCGCGATTCCCGATGTAGGCCTCCGGGCTCAGCCGACTTATCAAAGTGAGAGCACTTCGCCAAGGTACCTGCCGTATTGTGACGCGATTGTTCGCAATTGTTCGGCTGATAAGAGGAGTGGAGCCGGCGGTTTTTGCCGGTCGTTGGTCGCGCGCGCGACGAAGATCGATGTGATCGTAAACGCGGTTTCGGCGCTTTGGTTTGTAGCGACCCCGGGTCACGCTCGGCTATCGCGCACACGACGGCGATAACAACGGTGTGGATCCGCCGAGTTGACGCTCGTAACGCGAGTTATGCCCGGTATCTTGACACCTTGCGCCACGTCGCAGCGTCCGTAAGTAGAGCACAACCCGCGACGACGACGAGACTCGCCGCGCGTTGTTATCGCAGCCGCACTAATCGAGATTGATCCGCTCGCGCGCGTATCACCGCCGAGCGATACTTTTCAATTAGTTCCTCGATACTTCGCCGAGCGACCACGTTCGTTGCGGAATATCGGATGGTGGCGTTCGAGCGAAACGGCGTGTCTAGCATGCGTGCTACTCGCGCAGCGCGATCCGTGATTATTCTAATTAATCCTTAATCGCAAGCGAAATGAGTAAGGCCGCTTCGAGCGGCCGATATCGGATGATATTGAACGTCGAAGTGAAACGCGGATTCTCGTGTTTAACATTTAGCGCGACAGAGAGTTCTGCAAGCACTCCGCCTGTAAATAGCATCCCGGCTGAGTGCTTTGGTGTATCGCGCTCGCGGAGTCTCCAGCTCTCGGAGCTATAAACAATTACGCATTGCCGGTGTGTTTCGTGCGTGAGGAATCTCACGAGTCTTCAAACGCATCGCTCGTATCGCCGTGCACTGTGAAAAAGCAAATGAGGATCTCCGCGCGTTTTCTCCATCGCGGAAATCGATAACGATTGATTCTCCGCAGGCGGTCGAGAGGCTGCTGATATTATTGCGCGTATGCGAAGAGAGATGAGATGTGTGTATAATTATCCCGTTTCTCCCCGAACATCTTACGCGGAAATTCGGTTCGCGCAGATCCGTGTGTCTTTATACATTCCCGTCGTTCGATCTGACTGGTCGAATCCTTCCTCGAAAACATTGACGTTCCTCGCTCGGCTGCTCTGCGAAAACAATTCGGCGGAATCGAAGTAATGACCGACCGCGCTTGTTTCGCACTCGCACATACGATACGTCAGAGAGAAAGAAAAGGAGAGAGAGAGAGAGAGAGAAAGGGAGAGAGAGAGAGAGAAAAAGAGGGCTAGAAGAGAAACGGTCCGCTTTAGAGAATAATAATCGCTGAAGATCCGATTAGCCGATCAACGATAACGAGTGCACAATGGTTTCATAATTTGTAATCGCCGTTTGTACGAGCGCACTTTGACGTTCGATTGGACGATGTATGCACTTCGCGTTTCGTTTGAACATCCGCGTTTATTTACCGATTCCCACAAACGCAGTTCCAAAGCTAGTTCCACGCTGTGTATCTATCGTTCGTTTCTCGATAGAGAGCGGCAAAGGAGGGTTTACCTAATTCCACTGTAATTTATCTCCAGTCAGTTCCCCCGTTTTCGCATGCAGCACAGTTGCGACGCGGCAAAAATAATTGCGAATTCGAACTGTACGCGCGCACACATGCGTCTGCGTTTCCGTCGTGTTCGTCGTGCTTCCCGGCCGACTGTGCTTTCATCTCGAATCAATAGTAATAAAATAACGAATCAATATCCATATTGTCGCTATCGAATACGGAAACATTCTGACCGCTCAGAACGATAAGATACGCATGTAGCGTAACACACGCATGTGTGGTTGCGAATAAAATAAAATTATCATTATCGCACGCACACACACATACGTAAGCTCACGAATACGGTATGTTATCGAGAATAATCTCTTCGATATATGCCGGGTGAAAAATTGAAAAGAAATGTCGAACTTCTGTCCCTCTGCAATTTTCTTGCAATCAGTTACGCAGACTCGACATATTCTCTCGATTTTTAAGTTTCAGCCGTCTCGAAATTACAAACGATGAAGGTAATTGCTCTCTTTTTTAAAAGAAGAACCTCCGTTTCTAAGAGATACAAATGCAGAGGGCATTCTGTGTTCGGTTGTAAGTTGCGTGTCGAATTTCATTTATGTTATCAAGAATATAATCTCTTCGATATATGCTGCGTGAGAAATTGAAACGAAATATCGCACTTCTGTCCCTTTGCAATTTTCTCTCGATCACAGTTTTTTTTACTCAGATTCGACATATCCCTTCGATTTTTAAATATCAACCATCTCGAAATTAAAGCGACGACGATAATTGCTCTTTTTTTTTTCTTTTTTCAAGAGAAGCTCCGTTTCTGAGAAATACGAATGCAGAACTCATTCTGCGTTCAGTTGTGAGTGCGTGTTGAATTTTATTTCGAGACGCCCCTACCGAGGTATCTCGGTAAAATAAAGAGCGGTAAAAATAGCAATCATGTACGAGACGCGCGTGAGGCGAAAATTCCGCCGAGAAAGAAATCGAACGCGAGTGTCGTCGAGAGAATCCGCGCGGACAAGCGGAAGGCTGTGATCGCGGGATGAGCGACATTCGCGCGATTAATGACCATTTGCTATTACGGTCGGTGACGTTCGAGCCGTATCCGATTCCCGCGTGCCGCTGGGCTGTGAAGTCACCAGTCCGAGGATTTCTATAATTACAGCATAACGAGATCACGTAAAACCGATCCAAGCTCAACGACGCGAGGTTACATTGTTCGCCGTTTACACGTTTAGCAGGACCGCGTAATTCGACTCAGCCGACGTAAACAAGGCTCAAAAGCCTGCGGCTCTTGTGTGTTTCAAAGTGAAACGGTTACCATCACATATTTATACAAACGTACACCTCCTGATGTTCGCGGAGGCCTTCCTGTTTCAGGATCGGCCCGAAGCGCGCTTGCAAAACACGAAACTACGTTATATCGCGTTGTACGGACATGCACGTTGTTGCACGCATTGTGCAAAGACACGAGAGAAGTTCGATGAGAGATCTCATCAGACTATTTTTTTTTCAAAGTTCGCGGCTTGCTCGGGAACTATCGTGCGGTTCATGCTAGTCCGCGGGACGTTTGACGAAGTTGAAACGAGGTTCCGTAATTTTAGACCGCGAGTTTTCCGACCTTATTTGAAGACGCCTGAAAGAGATAAGACATTACCTCCACACTCTCGCACCCTTGCGACTTAATCGGACGAAATTGTGTTTAACTTGTTGACGTTGCCGACTTCCTTCCGCAGCATCATCATGACGGCCCTTAAACGCCAACTGGCGACGCACCGCGAAGTCACGATTCGCGCGATCAACAACAGACACGTGCCTAATCGGGGATGTGGAAACGGAACGGATCGAAAACGTGACATTTTGCGGCGTAACTCTTGATATTTCGACATTATCCTATATTCACGTTGAGTTAATATGTAATATGCGTATTATCCTGCTCGTGAGATCTTGGAATTCGCTAATTGGCGGTTCAATTAAACGCACCATCATCACACACACACATACACACACACACACACACACATACATCGTGTATTAAGGGCAAACGTAATCTCACTCCATACATAAAAAAGCACGAGCACGCAAGCCACATAAAGTTTTCGCCGGGTGACTCTCAACGGTAGATAAGACAGAAATCTCGATGTACGATCCACAAGGAGGAAAATTGTGGGCCAATCCGCCGCCGCGATCGGCGGATTGGCCGTTACGTTAAAGTCGATAGTCGATAGTCGGGAAGGATAATAGAGAAGCGGACCAAGTAGATTACGCCCGAAACGAATTAAGCGTCGTCTACAATGGCAGTAAGCAATAAGAAGTAAGCGTGAACAGTAAGAAATGGACCAACAATCACAGTTGATTATTCTTGTCATAATCGACTGTGATTGCTTTATTTCTTACCACTTACGTTTACTTCTTACTGCGCTTTACACGCGCGCCGAGAGGGCCAACAAGCGATAGTCTTCGACGACCTTTCTCAGGCCGATCTCCGAGGCCTGATTTATGGTTCCTTTTCACGATGCAGCGGCCAATCCCAGGTCTGAAAACATCATTTGTACCGCGGCTTTCAGCGGAATAACAAGCCACGATGTAAGACTCCGGTGTCTCGATCTCGCGCGCGCCCTTCCCCACAGCAATATCTCGAGGGACGGCAGGGTGCGATGGAGAAATGGAGGAAAAAAGAAAAAAGGAAAGAAAGCACGGGTTTATCGGGTAACACTGACAACATGAAACTTTGATAGATAGACATTTCTTTCGGCTGAACAGAGAGAATACATCTTCTGCCCCGCTAAAGTGGATTAAACGCGCGTGCGCGCTCGCCGCCGAGGTGAGCGGATAATTGCAGCAATTAACTGATCGATAGGATCAGGTGCCCGTCGTGAAGTAGGATTAGACATTTAACACCTTGCTCCCCGCGGAATATACTGTCGGCGTTTTGTCGTCAAAGCCGCGAATTACACGGCATACACAGCGGCTGGTTCGCCGCTGTTCGCGGGGCTTATGTTATCTCTCTCCCCCTCCATTTTAACTATTCTACATGCAACATGCGAAAATAACGGAAAGGAAGAAAATGCGAATTCACGGGTGCATGCGCGCACTTCATTACGATAATTAACGCGCTCGGTCGCACGATCATCGATGAGAGAAACGAATTTATTTGCCGGTGGCAAATAAATGCGGACGAGGCACGGTCGATCGATCCTGTTACGCGTTGTGTCCGCCGTTCGTTATGTGCTTCGCTAACCGTTCTTACATAAAACACCATGTAACGGAACCTTGCTAATGTCAGCCGCTAAGCTCGTCGTACGTCACACAACGCCGCCGATGAGCAATCGATATTACACGATCCGCGATTGTTCGACGAATCTGTAAGGCTGTAGGCGCTTTCGAGAAGTCTCTCTCTCGAGGAGTTTCCTTCCCTTTATTAAATTCGGCATAAGAATAAAGAAAAAAAAAAAAAAATGAGGAAGCACCCGCCGAGTAAATAGGCGACGTGGATATTAACCTGGCTGTTGCGATCAAGGCTTAATGAGACGGTC